AGACTACAAACACAACTACAGGGACTGGCCGTCGTTTTACACTATAGTACAAGCAAATCTCAACAACACTGCCGTACCGTCGCTGGCTGGAAAGACACCGGGTGAGCTGTTCACCGGACTGGATCCCCCTTCGCCTCTGAAGGCTGTATACTTGGGACCAGAGGTGGCCCCCAGTGTACAACCGACTCGAACCTCGGCCAAGATCGAGTCTAGTCTGGCTCTACTACGGACTAGTGTCAGAGCCATGCACAGGGCGGTTGCAGATGCCCGCCTCAAACAGACATTACTGAACAAGAAAAAGGCGCGAGGTGATAACGTGGTCAACTTCAACGTAGGCGATTATGTACTACGATCACGTGTGGACGAGAAAGGACAGAACAAGCTACTCGTCACATGGAACGGACCCTTCGCTGTCACTGAAGCACAACAGCAGAACGTTTTCAAGGTGAAGCACCTCGTTACTGGCGTAGAGCTTGACGTGCATGCCTCGCGGCTCAAGTTTTTCGCTGACAAGGACCTCGAGGTGACTGAAGAGCTCCTGGAGCACGTGGCTGCTCAGGGTATCATTCTTCGCGTGCGCGAGCTACTTCGGCATCGGTGGAACAACACGAGCCGAGCCTACGAGATCCTTGTAGCGCGGCATGGGTTGGAGGCAATAGAGGACTCATGGGAGCCTCTAGCAGCACTGCACAAAGACGTGAGTACGTTAGTGCAACCGTATGCTGCTGCAGTCAAAGACACTAAGCTTGAGCGTCACCTAAAAGCGCTAGAAGCGTCAGGAAAGCGACGCTGAAGCTAATGTGTATACGTGTATACCCCTCAGTATAATGGCTATACTTTCACTAAGTTAAGGTTTTTCCTTGATACTGTGGTAGGCTTAGTCATTATCTGTTGGATTTGCACTGTCAAGTATGCTTCAACTGCAGCACGTTGAAGTTGGTCACATAGCGTGGACCAATTGATTAGTCGAGTGATTAGTCACGATGAGTTGAAATATCACTGAGTAGTGAGTTATTCGTAATACATTATGCACAAGCAAAAGGCTGAGTGGTCGAATTGGGCTTGGACAGGGACTGTAGTGGGTGGCGGCACGAAAGCCCAACCACGACCACGCAGTACAGTGAGTGAAGCTCTGTAGTTGAGCTATGGCAACATGTATTGACAGTTAGCCACTATGTAGTGGCACAGCACGCAGTAAAGTGCACATCAAGTGCTGTGACCCATGAGATGAGGTCACGCACTTGAAGATTATCGACTACACATGTTTGTTAGCTCGGGCTGGTAATCATCGTGGCAGAGAGCTACCAGGACGTTGCCTTGCAGGACGCTGTCACTGATAGTTAGGTAGAGCGGTTTGTCGGCGTGCATGCCTTTATAGTTCATTTTTGGTTTTACATCAAAGCCGGCAAGCGCAATACAATCGGCAAGAGACTTACGGAAGTGCCAGCTTCCCCTGACTGTGTTCGCGTTTTTTCAGTGTGACCTACTACAAAGACCGACGCTGCGCCTAGCGTCTCCACTGACGCGAGTTTACGTACAAGCATATTTTTCTTGACCATCTCGGACGTACCGGACGACAGACAGATTGTCACGACCATCGGTAAGCCCTTGGGAACAGCACTCACGGCCACAGACACAGCAGCCATAATCATAGTCAAGCACGTGGGTCTGTCCGGGTGACGAGGGTCTTCATTGCCGCGGATCATACCGACGATAAACACGAGGATGGCCACACCCACCGCGATGAGACCCATGACGTACTCAATGCTGTGTAGAGCTCGCTGCAGAGGCGTTAGCTTCGGACGGTGCTTGGCGATGCAGCCACCAAGCGGGTTACGGGTCCACTTATTCTCTGCAGACGCATCCGTGCCGCTCTTGGCTTGTAGTAGAGCTGCAATGGAGCCCACACGCGTGTTCATACCAGTCTCCACTACAATACCGCGAGCGTTGCCGGCGGTGATCGTCGTGGACGAGAAGACCATGTTACTCGCTGTCAACTTGGCAGGTTTGCCGGCTCCAGCGGGGTGGATCGGAGCGTTGTATTTCTTGGGGACATCCTCCGAGTCGCCCGTGAGCAGCATCTCGTTACACTTGAGATCGACACTAGTGAACAGCCGAATGTCAGCAGGCACAACGTCGCCTGTGACGAGGATCTGCTGTCCACCACTTGTTGCATCCCGTCACGGATGACAAGCGACTGCAGACGAGTGAAGATGCAAAGATCTCTCGACATCCAACTGCAGCCGAAAGCTCGAGCGCACTTTCAACACTCTTTCCCCGCCAAGGACGAGACTTGTTTGGTCAGCTTCTCCTGAGTTTCATGGTCTCGGAGATGGGGGCATTCGCGCTTCAGGGACGATGTAACAGACCTCTCGTCAGCATGGAAGGTAATTCTGGTTCTTTTGTGCAATTTCGATAATCACATTATGTGGACCACATCGCTGAGAAGTCATTTTCCCAGATTATGTGGACCACAGAACGAAGAGTCGCATCTTCCGTGAGTTATCAGAAAAAGGAGCGGCAACAGCGCTTGAGCCATTTGTGACGACGATTATGCAGCGCACCGCCTTACCACCGCGAGCGTACCGTCATATACTGCAGCAACAGCAGACAGTCGGCGAAGAGCGATTGAAGTGCTCAACACTTCTGGTAACACGACAACCGCCGCAAAACTCGTAGCGTGCAGCCTGCTACCTGCCGTTGTACAGACGCAATAGTTGAGCGTCAGCGACGCAAACTTGTGTATCTAGACTCCACGACACAACACGCACGCAGATTACGGCATTCCGTCGTGGGGCCATACGTGTATCACACGAACGCCGCACTTCAGCAAGCTGCTGTATCTTGTCCTCTGCAAAGTGCAAGGCTGCCTACACATGCGCGAGACGGTGAGAGTGTGACACTAACGTGACACAAGCATGGCGATGCGCGGTGTCTGTTTTGTATGTGGACGACCATCTCCTCTCGAAAGCCCATACTCCGCAACAATGACTCACCAACACACGTCGTTCCCACAGTAGCGACAGCAATGCCGACCAGTGTATCTCGTTACAAATGGTAGTGCTTGGTGGCAACAGAATCGCCGCCATCGACGTGGGCAGTATTGCGCGACCAGCAGAATATGCATGGCACCGGCAAGCTGTCGGCGACAGTACCGACGACGTTGAAGCTGCTAGTTTGTCGAAAACAGCGACGCGTTGGAGTAGAACGCTGGTGCCGACAACACTGGCGACAATAACTTGAACGTGACAGCATTGGTCCTGGCAACGCCGGCAGCTTGGGAGAGCGACATCGGGGCTGGACTTGAAAGCGACCGCATTACTCGTAGCAACGCCGACGACATCATAAGGGCGAGTTTCAGCCCTTAATCCGAACTAGGATAATTTTTAAAGATTTGCTCCAACATTTGATCATTATTGCTTCTCATTGTAATTATCATTGTAGCACGTGTGGA